AGGTAGGAACTGACTTGATGGCACTTAACAACAACAACATATGCATGTGAAAACTGGACAGTGAGTAAGGAAGACCGTGGAAGAGTTGATGCTTTTGAGTTCTGGTGTTGCAGAATATTGAATGTACCATGGGCTGCCAAAAGAACAATCAGATCTGTGTTGGAAGAAGTGCAGCCAAAGTACTCCTTGGATGCCAAGATGGCAAAACTTCGTCTCTCATATTTGAAAAATATTTTCAGGAGGGATCAGTCACTGGAGAAGGATATCATATTTGGTAAGGTGGAAGGTCACAGAAAAAGAGGAAGACCCCCACCGAGATGGATTGACAAAGTAGCAGCATCAGTGAGCTCAAATGTGGCAACAATTGTGAGTTTGTCCCAGGACCAGAGAGTGTTTCGTTCTGTTGTGGATAGGGTAGCTATGAGTCGGTACCTACTCGATGATACCTAACAACAACAAAGTGAGTTTTTCCACCATCTCTTATCATACATGTAATCAGTTTGATTCCTGTTTATTCCATTTGGGAAAGTCTATATGTATATGGACTTTTATATATACCTTTTATATTGTTTTACAATATCCAATATCCTTTCTATCACCAAGGCCATGTTTTCCAGCTACTGATCTTTCCTTTTTGTTTCCAACTTTCATATTCTAATCACCGGCAATTATGAATACATCTTGATTGTATTTTTGATCTATTTCAGATTGAAGAATTTGATAGAATTCTTCAATTTCATCATTGCTGGCTTTAGTAGTTGGTGTGTTAGTTTGAATAATAGTTTATTTACTGGACTTTCTTGTAGGTGTATGGATATTATCCTACCACAGACATCATCATGTCTTGATTTATTCTCTTGGTGATCAATGCTATGCCATTCCTCTTGAATTTGTTGTTCTGGCATAGTAAACTATATGATTGTCAGATTCAAAATGGCCAATACCAGTTCATTTTAGCCCACTAGTGCTTAGAATATCAATGTTTATGTGTTCTGTTTCCTTTTTTGACAACGTCAAGTTTTTCTAGATTCATTCTTTCTACATCCCATGTTATGACTATTAATGGATGTTTGCAGCTGTTTCTCCTCATTTTGAGTTGTGCTCCATCATAAAATGAAAGTACAGAAAACTCTTCTCCGTTTAAGTCATCACAGTCAACTCTACTTTGAGGAGGCAGCTCTTCCCCAGTCATATTTTGAGTGCTTTCTAACTTGTGGAGCTCATCTTCTGGTACTGTATCTGACAATATCCTGATACTATTCATAATGATTTCAACTATACCTGACATGTTCCACTGCTATTCTTAAGTTTTTCTGTGGCTAAACTTCAGAAGTAGTTTGCCTTTCCTTCTTCCTAGTCTGCGTTAAGCTGGAAGCTCCACTGGAAGTTGTCTACCATGGGTGACCCTGCTAGTATGTAAAATCACAGCAACACACAAGCCACCACAATGCCTACATTTTTAGATATGTCAAATAATCCAAACCCATTACCATGGAATTGATTTCAACTCATGCCAACCTCATGCATTATAGAAGTGTTCTCTGGGGTTTCTTGGCTTTGATTTCTATGAAAGCATATTGATGGGTATTTCAAGATTCCACATCACTGCCAGGTGGGCTCACACTGACAACATTTAGGCTACTATATGAGTACAATCCATTTGATATATCAAACACAAACTGTGTCTACTGGGTTTGACTCCCAATTTTGCAAAATTGAATAAAGAAAACCTCACTCTCGCTAAAAAAAAAAAAACAACCACCAAAAAACTAATAGCATAGAAAGAGAAATAAGCAGTATAATACAATATGATAACTGTTACAGTGGGTTAAATGTAAAACCACTGAGAAAGGAATTATTTGTTATCTCTAAGAGTAAGAGTGGGATTCAGAAAGGAGATGTCTTTTAAGTTGTATCATGAAAGTGGGTCTTAGGCAGAAGAATACAGTGAATAAATGCACAAAAGAGGGGAAATTGGAATATTTGGGAAGTGGAAAGAGGAGTCATGAAATTAAAGTACAGGAAGTGTGAAGGAATGGGAGCAGAAGAATGGGGAAAGAAGATAAGCAAAATTGGAGGTAACTGCGAAAAATTAGGAAACACAGTTATATTTCATAGTAAGTGGTTTGCCAGATTTCCAGAGCTGAAGCCTCTGCTGTCTCTCGCACATGTTTCCTTCCAGCTGGAATAGTTTCTGACAAGAGGTGACATTGCTCTCTCTAAATTATTTCCCCATGCAATTGACTGCTGTCGTTTGTTTTCATAGTTACACTTTTGTTGTTGTTACATGCTGTCGAGTTGGTCCTGACTCAGTGACCCTGTATAGGTTTTTTGAGCAGCAGCTGTTGAGTTTGAATTGCCTACTTTGCAGTTCAAAGTAACCTTTCAGTCCACTGCTTATCCTACAGCACCACACCAGTGATGCTAGTGACACTAGTGACAGTAATTATTGCATGTGAGTGTGGATAAGTATAGTTGAAAAACCCAAATGCAGAACTTAAAGTCCTTTCCACCATATACTCATATATAAACTCTTATTAATTGTTCAGTGGTTACTATTTTTATATAAAAAACCTGTTCTTTGTCTTTATTTCTTGACTTACTTTAGCTGGAATGTCTCTATTACTTATAGCTGAGATATCCCCAGCTAAGTACCCACTCTTGGAAAATATTTCTTCTGTCTACTCCATCTTCTCGTACTTCAGTAGTGTGGTAGGTAGGGAATTCTTGAAGTACTTTCAAGTAACCTTTGTGAAACTGAAAACTGTGCTTTAAAGCTCATTTGAATCACTTTCAGTGTGCTACACTTGTCCAAGAATAGAATTTCCCATGCAGCTTGTAGTATGCCACACAATTCTTGATGTTTCTTGGAAATTTCTATAGTCATCCTATTCATTTTTTACTTTTTAGTTCTCTATTTCACTCAGTCCTTTATATGTGTTGTTTTTATAACTTCTAATACTATTTTGTGATTTTTCTTTTAAAGTTACTAAAAAGTAAAATACAATATTATACGTACAAAACACATTCATTTGAAGATGCCAAATTATGCACAGTGAAATATCTTCTGAAAAATGTTAGAAATATTATCTATGAGAAAAACAATAGAACACAAAGAAATATTTTTTGTTTGTATATAAGGTATTGTTTTCCGTACTTACATTGTGTAGTATCATATAACTCTCAAAGAAAGATGTTTATTGTATTTTCGAGCCCATCAACAGTTTTTTTTACCTATGAACTTTGAAGCATAGTGAACTTTGGATAAACTAGACACTGTGATCATAAGAATAATTGTTTCCTATTGATAGAGCTTGAAATTGTAAGCAATGATGTATTAATATTGTGTATCTATTAAGCTGGAAAGTATTACCCTTTGCCTTTTACAATCCCATATATTTCAGGATTAAACATGTTGGAAGTATTTATCTTAGCTATATTTCACAAACGTTAGGACTCATCCAGAAGCAAAGATGTCAAATTTTCCATTCTGAAATTTGTACTATGTAAATGTAGACTATTAGAAATACTGGTATATTGAGAAATAGAAATTGATGTTTTACATTTGTTCTTTAAGTTGATTAGTTCAATTTTCATTCCATACTCATTTATTTCAAAAGGATTGTGTGTTGGTTCTTATGCTAGGTCTTAATTTATTTTTTTAGACAATGAACAAAACATTTGATTCATCTCCAGAATGTACAGAATAGGAATGTAGGAAGAAAAGTAGAGTGCAGTGTGCTAGAAGTGTAGTCAAGGGCCATTCCAGTAGTAGGGACTACTTTCAAAGAGTGGGAGCAGGTGCTAAGTAAGAGCATGTATGATTTGAAGCAGGGACTTATGAAAGGGGGTAGGGAAAATGGGAGGAGATGAGGCTGGACCACTTGGTAGAAGCCTGGAAGTAAGAACTTGGGATGCTATCCTAAGAAATTTGAATTCTAGGTAAAAAGAGTTGGAGAACCATCAGAAATTATTAAAAGCACTCTTTTTTTTACCATTGTCAGACATACAACTTTTAGAATTCCTGAACATTTGGAAATCATGAAAAGGAGGAGTGACATGATGTGGTCTCAGATGATGAAGGCATAGGGAAAGATGGCATGTTGAAGGAGTTGCTTTAAGTCTCATGCTTTCAGGAGACTAGAGTTGTAGTTCTGTTTTTAGGAATCTTGCTTTGGAACATTAACCTGAGAAACTTGAAATTAGAGACTGTGCCTTTTTGTCTATGTTTACGTTTATTTCCTCAATACTACTACAGTGCCTGGTATATATTATACTCAATAAATGCTGAATGGTGACAGAATGAGGCAAATCCATAGTAAAGCGCTTTCTTCAGCACTCTATTTATCTTTGCAATTATGGTACATTTTCTCATTCTATAAGTTTTAGATTGGGAAATCAAATTATTAGAATGTCCTGCTATGATGCTGTAGGATAAGCACTACACTGTTAACTGCAAGGTCAGTGGTTCAAACCCATCAGCTGCTCCTCGGAAACCCTATACAGGATGGCTATGAGTCAGAACCAACCTCATGACACTTAACAACAACACCTAGGAGCTGTGTATAAACATTGTGAATAAAATATTTTTATTCAAGACATATTTGCTGAATAAAAGTGTGAAATAAAAATCCAAGGCAATCAAATTAAATATTAATTCAATGCTTCCTGAGCTCGTGACATTGAAATACATACTCTATCATTAGGATAATATCTAGTTGAAGATGTATCGCAAGTTGAGTGTCATCGACAGCATGATCGGACCTCAAAGGAGAGAATGAGTCTCATGGACTTGACCAGTGTAAAAAGTCTTCAAGAAATAAGATGAATTTGGCTAAATTTTGAAAGATTGGTAATAATGTATGAATGTGCAGAAGAAAAGAAGTGTTGAAGAATAAGACGTGTGGGGAGCTTAGTGAGGCGACCACTTCTGATTTATTAATTACTTTACCACATTGACTTCCCATCCTATTTAATGTGTCTTTCTTACTGCTTTCTAGGGCAGTGGTGGTCTTGTAGGACCAATTGGAACCTCTGGAATTCCTGGCCCTATGGTATGGCTCTATTTGCATAATGGTTATTCCCTTGTAATTTCTCTGTGATATCACAAAATATCTTTTTTTAAATTTGTTTTAGGGTCTCTCAGGGAATAAGGGGCTACCTGGAATCAAAGGTGATAAGGTGATTTAAATGTTTACATTATCATAGAGAAAATCTCTTAACATGTTTTTTTTCTTTAAGTCAACACAAAATATAAAATGCTTTTTTGTTGTTGTTTACTGAGTCTAACCTATATTATCAATTATATATTTATTGATAGATGCATTATTATTTCATGATAATTATTTGTTTTCTTATATAGCATTCCCATATTTGCCATGCATAAGTGTCTTTGTATGAACTTATGCTTTCTAGGGTGAACAAGGCATTGCAGGAGAACAAGGAGAATTGGGGTATCCTGGAGACAAGGTAATTTGTATACCATTGTTGTTGTTAAGTGCCATTGAGTTGGTTCCAATTCATAGAGACCCTGTATAGAGTTTCCAAGGAGTGGCTGGTGGATTTGTACTGCTGATCTTGTGGTTGGCAGTCCAGAGCTTATCCTACAGCACCACACCAGGATTCCTTTATACTATTAATTTTGTGTAAATACCTAAAAACCAGCGATAATATGTGAAGTCTGTCAATAAAAAGGAGTACTTATTATTTACCAGGATATACTATCAATATGGCTTTATATGTCTTGTTTAAAACAGTTTTCTAATTATTTTAGAACACTTGTGTGAACTTTTTAGTAGTCTGCAAATGAAGGCACCACTGCATTTTGTAATATAATAACTGTTCTCTTCATAGAATGTTGTTCTCTTTTAGGGAGCTGTCGGTTTACCAGGACCTCTGGGGATGAGAGGAAAGCCAGGACCTTCAGTAGGTTTGAACTTTAACTTTGTTCTTTCTGATTAAATGATTGCATGTCATAGCATGATTTAACAGCTGTTGGTTTTAATATGATAAACCTACCATACCAGTCTTATACTTCTTGTCAGTTTAGAATCTCACCTACTTAGCCCCTTCATCCCAGGCCAAAGCCAAGTTTCTGGTAACCTTGAAGATGTAGATTGTATTATTTCCCTGAATTCTTTACTATAAACAGTATTTAAATTCAATAATGTACTTTTAAGTCAGAATATATAAAGTAAATTAAATAATATTTCATTTTTTCTCAAATGTCTTTTTCATTAAGAACATTTTTCATTTATAATGTTCAGGAGACGTTCTGAATAAAAGAGCATATCATTCTCTCTTGTTGCAAGGGACATCAGTTAATTGAAAAAGATCTTTTATCATATAAGTTAATCTAAAACCCAGCAAAACTAAAATTATTGAATAAATAAAATAATTCAGTAAATGATTAAGACATGAGTCATAAGTGTGTGTCTGCATATTAAAATATTATTATTGTAGATAACTTTTACTGAGTGCTTACAGAAAGCCAGGCACTGTTTTATGTACCATGCATTTATGTGGATCATTTCAAGCTATGGACAAAACTGCAGAGAATGAATATTCTGGAACACTTAATCGTGCTCATGAGGAACCTGTACATAGACCAAGAGACAGACACTCATTCTAACAGAACAAGGGGACACCGAATAGTTTAGAATCAAGAAGAGTTTGTTCCAAGGTTGTGTTCTTTCACCACACTTATTCAATCTGCAAATTGAGCAAATAATCTGAGAAACTGGATTATATGAAGAAAAATGTGGCATTGGGATTGGAGGAAGACTCATTAACAGCCTTGCTTTCTGAAAGCGAAGAGAACTTAAAATACTTACTGATGAAGATCAAAGACCACAGCCTTAGATATGGGTTGCACCTCAGTGTAAAGAAAACAAAAATCCTCACCACTGGACCAATAAATAACATCAAGATAAATGGAGAAAAGATTGAAATTGTCAAAGACTTTATTTTGCTTGAATCCACCATCGACACTCATGGAGGCAGCAGTTAAGAAATCAAGCAATGCATTGCATTAGGCAAATCTGCTGCACAACATCTCTTTAAAGTATTGAAGAGCAAGGGTGTCAGTTTGAGGACTACGGTGCACCAGACTTAAGCCATGGTAGTTTCAGTAGTCTCATATGCATGCGAATGTTGGACAATGAATAGGGAAGACCATAGATGAATTGATGCATTTGAATTATGATGTTGGAGAGGAATGTTAAAGGTACCATGAACGACAGAAGAACAAACAAATCTGTTTTGGAAGAAGTGCAACCAGAGTATTCCTTACTTAGATGGCCAGACTTCATCCTTCATACTTAGGAATATTATCAGGAGGGACCACTCCCTGAAGAAGGGTATCATGCTTGCCAAAGTGAAGGGACAGCAAAACAGAGGGAGACCCCAATGAGATGGATAGGTACAGTGGCAGCAACAATGGACGAAGCACCCAGCAGTGTTTCGTTCCGTTGTGCAAAAGTTGCTGAGTCGGAACCGGCTCAACGGCACTTAATATGTGTTTAATTTTGCTATGAAGTTGATACAACTGTTGTCCCTGTTTTACATAGTAAAAGGACTAAGACATAGAGAATTAAGTAATTTTTCCCAAGAGTCCACAGTCATTAAGTGGCTACCTTACAAGAAATTCAAGTAATGAGGTATGCTACAATCTTAACTATTGTGACATTCTCTTTTAGGATTTAGTATTTCTGGATTCTAATATTGGTTACAACTCTATGAAGGTCATGTTGATGTTAGATAGGAAAGATGAGATACCAAACCATTATTTATTAAAGTTACATTGAAGTATGCTTATAGAACAGAGTATTATTTCGCTTAGTGTTTAATACTGTTCCCTCTAACTCCACCCACCTATATCATGATTTTTTATACTTTTATATCAAAACACAGCATTCAGCTGTAGAACTTTATGTATAAATTCTTTCTGACTTCTAACAGCGACACCATTTTATATGCGTATCTCAGGAATTATTTAATTCAAAGAACAATTTTTTTTGGTCTTCTATTTGTTTGATAAGGAACTCTGGTGTCACAATAGTTAACTACTCAGCTGCTAGCTGGCATCCTGGTGTGGCACTGAAGGATAAGCACTTTATCACAATGTCAGTTTGAACCACAGGGACAGCAGACAGTTCAAATTCACCAGCTGCTCCTCGGAAACCTTATACAAGGTTGCTATGGGTTGGAACTAACTCGAGGGCACTTTACAACAACAACAAACTGAACGGTTTGCAATTTGAACCCACCAGCTGCTCTGTGGAAGAAAAATGTATCACTTGTCTTCTGAAAAGAGTTACAGCTTTCGAAGCTCTATGGGACAGTTCTACTCTGTTTTTATAGGGTCTGTTTGAGTCAGAATCAGCAACAAAGGGTTTTATTTGTTTGATAGCAAGTTAGTGGTGACTTTTGCTTTGACTAGTTTTTTTTTAATCCTGAACTCACAGAAGTCAACCAGTCACCCTTAAACCTCAACTTAAGTCATGGAGTTGAATCTCAAAAAACTCCCAACAATATCAACAAGGTACATTAGAAATAGCTAGTACACAGCTTCTGGTCATCAAGAATGATTCTGGATTCCAATAGCTGTTGTTGTGTTTAAAGTGCTGTCAAGTTGGTTCTGACTCATAACATCCCTATATAGGGTTTCTGAGGAGTCACTTGGAGGTTTAATCCCCTCACCTTGTAGTTAGCAGTTCAGCGCTGATCCTACAGCGTCACACCAAGACTCCACTATAGGTGGGTAGAGTTAGAGGGAACAGTATTAAATGCTAAGCGAAATAATACTCTGTTTTATAAACATACTTCAATGTATCTGTGTTGTTGTTAAGTGCTGTCCAGTCAGTTCCAACTCACAGTGAACCTGTATATGGTTTCTGAGGAATGGCTGGTTGGTTTGAACTCCCAGCCTTGCAATTAGTAGTCCAATTCTTATCTTACAGTTTTAGACCAGGATTCCAAATGTCCATTCTCTTCCTAGGATGGGCTTGAACCACCAACTTGTCAGTTAACAGTTGAACATGGTAACTGATTGCACCACAGAGACAGCTTTAATATTTGTAGTGGTTGGGAAAATGAGACTCTGATTTTTTTTATCTTTTATACATTTTACATTTTTATTCCACAATAACAAGTGGAAATGGTATAACATTATCTAAGGCCAATATTAACAAATAAATGTTATCAATATGGTTCTCTTATGCTTTAGAGTTCATTTCTTTAAAAAAAAATTTTTTCCATTGTGAATTAAGTGAATGTTTACAGAACAGATCATTAGTTTTACATTCAATAATCATAAAGTTTATTTCATATTAATGATTGCAATTTCAAAGTAATATCATTTATCCCATTTCCTCCCTGTATTTCCTGTTTCCATTCTTCCTTCTTTCCCAACACCTCTAAACTTTTTCCCTGGGTAAATGCTGGCCTTTTGAACTTGAATGGTTGACCATTCTATGGTGCACGTACCTCAATAGTGCATCCTCCCCACCCCCTAGCCCCACCCCACATACCTATCTGTTTCTTGGCTGAACATTGAACTACAGAAGTGAGTTCAGTTCCAGACCTAAAGGGTGACCAAGAGCCATAGTCAAGGTTTCCACCAGTTTCTATGTGACCAGTAAACTTAGTCTTTTTTTTTTTTTTTTTATGATTTTGATTCTTTTTCCACAATTCTCTTATTCTAGCCAAAAAACTTCTAATGTAATTCCTTTCAGAGTAGTTGGTAATGGTATCCAGGCACCATCTAGTTCGAGGCTCAGGGTTGTGAAGACTGAGTTTATGTGGTCCATTAGTCCATTGTTTCCCAGCATCTTCAACTTTCATCACTCTTCTTTCCTTCACACTTGAAGAGACCGATAGTTGTACCTTAGATGGCTGCTCATGAGTTTTTAAGATTTCAGTCAGTACTCATCAAAGTAGGATGTAGAACATTGTCTTTGTGAACTATGTTATGCCAGTTGATAATGGTACCCCAAGCATATATGACCCAGAGCCCCAACACCCAGCAACTCATTCCCTCAAGGTAAGGTCTTAGAAGTTCTCATAATTTAACCCCATGTATACTCCACCACATTCATGGATATATTTACAACAAAGATAAATATCAATGTACAAATGTCCTTTATCAAACCTACTTTGTGGGGGTGTGTTCCCACTCTCCATACAACACCCATTCAGCCTGGGTGCCTATCCAAACACCTACTATGTATATCACAGTATTTACCTTTGTTGCCTTTAACTCTTGTGATCCTCTTCATATCTTCCGCTGCCTCTATTATTGTTTTTGTTTTTCCAATCTCTCTCTTATTGTATATTGCCTTTCCTTTCACCCAAGTTTACATAAGTCTGCCTATACAGGTTCACTATGAATCCAAATGGCAATTAAGATTGGCATTTAACAACAACAGCTCTCTAGCCAGTGAATCACACCACTTTTATCCCATCCCTGGTAACTATCAAAGACTTAAAAATAGTGGTCTTATACAATATTTGGCTTTTGGTGATTGAGAGTTCTTTAAATTGTTCAAAAGCAAAGATGTCAGTTTGAGGACTAAGGTGTGCCTGATCCAAGCCATGGTATTTTGAATAACCTCATACACATGTGAAAGTTGGACAATAAATAAAGAAGACCATAGAAGAATGAATGCATTTGAGTTTTGGTGTTGGAGGAAATATTAAAAGTACCATGAACTTCCAAAATAATATAACAAATCTGTGTTGGAAGAAGTAGACCCAGAATGCTCCTTAGAAGCCAAGATGTCCAGAATTTGTCACTCATACTTCAGACATATTATCAGGAGGGACGAATACCTGGAGAAGGACATCACGCTTCGTAAAGTAGTGGGTCAGCGAAAAAGAGGAAGAATCTCAACGAGATGAACTGGCACTCTGGCCGCAACAATGGG